AGTAGGGGAAAAAATAGGAAAAATAGGAAAAAAGGAAATGAAAGGAAAAGCAACATTAACGAGCTCCACTGTAAGTCTCACTGTAAGAGAATCAAAAGAGCTGTTAATGCTTTTATACAGATATGATGTTGACCTTGTGTCATTACATAAGTTTTTAAGGAAGCCCTACCTTCGTTTGCGTTTGTTGCTGTTGAAAAAAGATGACAACAGTGACAAGGCAGAAGAGGAAATAGAAGAATTGAAAAGAACCTCTGAAATAAGAAGCCTTGCTATAAAGGAATCAACGGAATTGTTTTTGATGTTGAAATGTTTATTCGCAACAGGCTCCTGACTTAATAATTACACAGTTTTCAAGAAAGTCTAGATTCGTTGATTAACAGTTATTTTTAAAATATTGTTATTATATAGCATTATTCAGTTTACCTATATTACTGCACCCTAAAAAATTGTCGTATCTCACCCCTACTTTCCCCGCGGCCACTTTCTTCCTGGATCACTTTCCGGGATCATTTGCGGTTGGGATCATTTGCGATACTGTACAGTGTACTGTACAGTGCACTGTACTGTACTGTACAGTGCACTTAGGTACAAGCCAGAAAATGGCAAACAAACCTCTTACGCCATGGTTAGGTTCTTAAGCTACACAATTCAAGCACTATCATTAATTTCAATCATATTCAATCAGCGTGCAAAGAAAGTAGTGTCCGATAGCCCGGGGCTAGTGGATTTTGCTATCGGGCTAGTGAATTCTGTTTTTATCTTGCCCGACGGGCAAGTGATGGTTTTTGAGGAATTCAAATAAGAGAAGAACTGTGAACTATGCTCGTCAAAAGCTTTTGGTGCTAGTTGAAATGACGACTGGGCTAGCAAATGCTAGCTTCAGCTTGCCCGAAAGGCAAGCTGTAAAAATGATTTTCTTTACACCCTGTCAATACTGGCAAATCTCGGTAATTTGACAAGCAGAAGAATCGACAATATAAAGGATTCTTTTTGGAGAAACTGGCTTGTAACAAATTTGAAACATTCCAATGGCAACGACAATACTATCATTACGGCTACGGTGGAAACCGTACGTTCAGTTTAACTGAATGAATCTGGCATTTTAAAAACCAAGAGTCACTTACTAGCTGTAACCAAAATAGCAAACACTGTGAGCAAGAGGGAGCGCATGATTCTAACAGTTGGATTCCTTGATTTCAGCAGAAAGAACTCTGACAACTACTTGCATGAACAACCCCGCGTCGAAAGCAACACCTTCATGTGACGTTTAGTCCGACACTCCCGCCATTATCCTTGAGTAATGAGGCGCGAAAAACTGACCCAGTAACCTTTCTTTCAAGAGTATTATAATGAGGGTGGAGCTTTAATAAAACAAAATTTTTTAGAAATTTTGATTACATGTGCCCCCTGTGCACCCAATGCCTGCCGTGTCTTGAAATTTGCAGATTGTATTGGGCTACATAGTAGCTTCTGAACAATCAGCATTCTATCAAGGTTGCACGAAGAATTCACTAATTAGTCTGGCCTAGATAATAACAAAAAACAAAGCGATTTTTAAAGCATTCCCTAAAAAGGAAAGCATCATCCCAAATAAGGAAGACGACCCCATAAGGCCATAGTGCGCCATAACCACGCCGGCCATATTGAAAGAACTGTGATAACTGCGTGCATGAAAAACCCCGCATCGAGCAACACCTTTATGAGAACTTGAAGTCCGATACTCCTTCGTCCTTGAGCAAAGAGGCGCGAAGACTGACCTATTAATTTTCTTTTAAAAGAATTATAAATAGTTTGAGCTCAAGTGAGTAAAACAAAATAAAAAGGATTAAGGGAGGGAGGGTGAAGGCAAGAAATCAAATATGCAATTATGTTCATCTTCGTCAAAAAATTGTGGTTAGATGCGCCACCTATCGCCTGCCTTTTCTTAAAAAAGTTCGGTAAATCAACCGCTAAATCCAGACGACAGATCTTTACTCCAAACCTAAAAACACAAAACGTTTTTCACGACCAGACGATTTAATTGGTTTTTATACCAAAGGTTGTGGAGCATTCAAAAACTAGTTGAAAAGAGGAGACTCGGGCACAGCCTCAGATCAAATGATGAGCTGTTTCTGTTACCTGCTTTTAAGACTCGGTGTCGGGGATTTGGCAGCAGCTCCACCCAGACTGTGAACCAGTTACCATCAGAACTTAGGAGAGTTACCGTTGCGAGCACTTCAGACGTACCTTTCCAAACAAACATTTTATTATAAAGCAGACTATTGTAATTAAAATTTTCAATTCTACTAGCAGAAGGATTTTGCTTTACAGTTAGCTCGTTCAATAACATATGTATGTTCGCGCATTTAAAAATGTAAAGTTGTTATTGTTGTATATATGTTTTTATGCTTTGCATTACAGAAGAAAAATTATAGTTATAGCAATGGTTTACTAACTATTTTAAAAATTTCATTTATAAATGATAGAAACGAATAAAATAAGAACAATTGAATTAATGAGGGCAAATTAAAGGTAATAGAAAGTAAGTGTGACGTTTAAATTCAAAAGGGACGAAAACTTTCAAAATGACTGGGAGCTATATCTGTCTATTTTAAACACATAACGCTGTACATGATAATATGTTAACTTAAGGTGTTCGTGCGAAAGGACAATTGCACAATTATCCTCTCGGGTGTACTTAATGTGTTACATGATATAAATATTTATGATGATTACTATAAATATCAAATTATTTTGTCATGGAGAAACATGTTCAAAAAGACGCGGATTGCTTGAGTGATCCGTAAATTTCTGTGAACCAGGAAATTGTCATCGGCTACCGGACCAATTACATTTCGGATAAATTATAAATAAGTTATAAATTATGGTTAAATCGGTCTCCCTTTTTGTTCCTCCAAAACATCTCTCTCGTTTGAATAGTATCAAAACAATCTCCACAATGAGGTAAAATACTAGTTCGCTTTCTGCCAAAAATGCAAATTTCAGCTTCCAAATTATTTTGGTAACAGTCATATAGATTGGACTGTTGTTGCCATCAACAGAACTTAGGAAAGAATTTTTAATTACTGATTTTAATACTCAGGGGCGTTTCCACATCTGTCAAACGTAGCTAAGACTGCTATCAGCGGCTGGCTCAAGTTCGATCAAGTACAGCAAACTTCAGATTTAAGTTCTTGGTGGACATAGATGCTTACAGTTTTGTACGCAGTTTTCTTTAGAATATTTTTCCTGATCATGAGATTTACAGGCAAACTCATAGTATTTGGACTGTTGTACATGTTTTCGTATGGTAAGTACGTTGAAAAATGACATGTAACTGATTCATGTTTTGTATTGACGATTTTTTCGCTTTGAAAATGTGTCTGCGGGTTTTTTCTTCAGTTAAAATTAAATAGTATAACTCACATAACTTACAATGCAAAAGTAAATCAGTAGCACAGTGTATACTTGATATCTTCTTTTAATTATTTGACTGCGAAAAATACGCAGCTGAGTACCTACTTAAGGGTATTCCTGTTAATCCAACTAACCCATGCTATTTCAGTTTGCGTAATTTGGTATTTTGATTTTGTTTACAGTCAATTTTTGGTTCCTTGGCCAAATAATCATCGCGGTTCACTAAAACAGTATTCGGGGTCATTCGTTATTTTAAATATATTCATATCATTTCATTTACGATCACCCTTGCATTCACCGCTCTGCAGTTCTTTGCAACTTTTCAATTAGTCGCCTAGCAGCAGACTTTGAAGATACCTGAATGGTTTGGGCGAATTCGGCCAGATGGAAGAGACTTCGTAGTTTTCCTGAAATAAATCTTCAGTTTACGGTTTGGAATGGAACTATGTACTGCGTTTGTACTCATGTTTTCTACATTCGATACTACAGGCTGTCAATCTAGGGACATTAATGTAATGTGGCAACCATTCAACAAATGTTTTCACCGGCCATTAATTCTGCTATGCAACCTAGTTAGTAATTATCCTCGTTTCTTATCACCCTTTGTCGCCCAAAGATCGACCTATATATCGCGTTCCAATCACGTATTCAGGGTATTTCCTACACAAAGTTATGCACTAAACTGGAAACGAGGTTTATTGCGTTTGGCTCCAGTCTACTTAACTTTGTTCCCGTAGCGGTCTTTGAGTAAAGCCGGCATCCCAGTTAAGTCCAAAAAAAATGGTAGCGTTCTGAAGAAAGCCTTCACTATTATATACGGTCATAGTTTTCTGTACTGTACAGTTTAAATGTAGCTAATTTATCATTCGATAGAGCTAAAAACCATTGAAAATGATTCGCTCGCCCTGTCGCGTTGGTTTTTTGATCGTCTATACAAAGAAAAATATGGCGCGTCTTACGCACTGGTACGAGAACTCCCCGTATAGATAGCATATTTAGTCTGAAATACAAGACTTAAAGTAGCTTCGCAGAGAGACTTCTCTAAGAAGCGACTTGCCTAAGAAGGACCTGTAACAAACGTACTAAGATACAACGCGTTACCTGTGATTTTAGCTCAAAAAAATTGCGCACGATTTTTCCTGCTGGGTCAGACAGTGTTTCGTGTCTTCTGGTTCTTTTGTTTTTATTTTTCAAATGTCCGTTTTTCTTTCTGTTTTTTTTTTCTTTTTTATGGTGACGATAGTCTGTCGATCTTCTTCTTCTTCTGGCCTTTCTCGGGTTCTTCACTATTTTAAGGTAAAGGAGAGTTGTCCTGATTTTTTCCGCATCAAAAAGCGTCTTATTAATGCGACAGATCGCAGTTTTGAAACACACGAAATGCTGGATTGCCGTTGCTACTGGCAACATTCACACGAAGTAGGACGCACATTAAACGAGCCGCGTCTTACATGCTCGTTATTCCTCTCAAGACTGATTTGTTCACCGGTCACCGGTATACTTATTCATCTCAGCACATTAAAAATCTGGGTTAAAATCTGAGCTTTGTTTATATCTACTTAACATAATAAATAGATTTGCAAATTATTTTACCAGCGCAGAAAGGCTCTTGGTCAGAGTGGGGCCCCTGTTCTAAGACTTGCAGCGGCGGAGTACAAAGCCGATTCCGAAACTGTACCCAGTCTGAAAGAGAATGGCACAACTGCACCAATAACAAAATACAGAAATCCAGACTTTGCCAGAATAGGCCATGTTCAGGTAAGAAAATGAGACTGTCTGTTACGCACACGTTCGGTCAGAACTTGCAAGAAAAAAGAGGTNCCCCCCCCCCCCCCCCCCCCTTATCTAAGGGTCTGAATGACCACCCCCTCCCCCCCACAACCCCCTTATCTTAAAGTCTAAATCCGGCACTGATTTGAAATTATTTTTCCTTTTTTGTTAAGATTTTGCTATTAAATGTTACCAGTGTCATGGTTCAGAGGAGTATTGTCATCACAGTTTACTACAACGAAACCAAA